TTCATTTTCCCCGGCACCATTGGGATATATATATATATATATATATATATATATATATATATATATATATATATATATATATATATATATGTATGTATATACATATATATGCATATATATACATATATATATATATATATATATATATATATATATATATATATATATATATGTGTGTGTGTGTGTGTGTGTGTGTGTGTGTGTGTGTGTGTGTGTGTGTGTGTGTGTGAGTGAGTGAGTGTGTGTGTGTGTGTATATATATATGTGTGTGTATGTGTGTATGCATACATATATAGATAGATAGATAGATAGATAGATAGGTGAATAGATAGATAGATAGTTATACTGTTAGTGGAAATGGATATATATGTGTGTTTGTGTTTAATAATGATAAAAAAGTGTTAGTAGTAATATTGAAAATGATAATATTTGTAGTAGTGTTAGAAATGGTGATAATAACAATTATAATAGCAATGATAAGAATAATATTAAGAATAAAAATATTGACAGTGATAGGAATAATAATAATAATAATAATAATAATAATTATTAATATTATTATTATTATTATTATCATTATTATTATTATTATTATTATTATTATTATTATTATTATTATCATTATAATTCAAATGTTGATAATAACAATCAGAAGGATAACAAAGATAATAATGATAATGACGATGATGATGATAATAATAATCAAAATAATAATGATGATAATAATAGTAATATTGATATATATATAATCATAATCATAATAATAATCATTATGATAATAATATTGATAATCATAATAATAATCATGATAATGATGATGATTATTATTATCACTATTATAAGAGCAATAATCATAATCATGATTATAACAACTATAATGATGATCATGATAATAGTAAAGATGATATTGATAATGATAATGTTGATCATGATAATAATAACAACAACGATAATAATAATCATAATAACAATAGTAACAGTACATTACTAACAGCAGATCTTCTGATGATTATATTGATACTGTTAATGATGGGGATAGTGATCATAAACAAATAGTAAATGTAGTGTGAATCATTCTGCCTCGCATTAGTTGTATGAAATATAGCGAGTGTTTTATGGATATTACTGTTATGGTTGTTTTTTTTCAGTTCTTACAACACTTTGTCATTAGTAGAAAGGGTTTAGGGGCCATCGTGTTCGATTCCCTTAAAGTGTAAAGAAGTGTATCACTTTGAGTAAATATCCGTCTCTTAGTATTTGTATTGTTCTTTTTATTACGGATCAATATCATCATCAGTTACTGTTATAGGCTGTGAGGACGAGAAAGAACCAAGATACCAATAATTTCCCTAATGTCACGGACACCGAAACCTCAGCAAAAAACATACATTCGGACACGGGCAGTCGACTGTCATTTGTTTTGTGTTTTCGTGATTTAGGCTGGAAAAAAAGAGATAAAAAAATCTTCATATGCATACACGAATATCCATATTTCTCTTTCAACATGTATGATTTCCGGCCATTATCCGATGCTCGTCGCTAGTTGACTGAAAAGCTTTTCGGTGTGAGGATTTCTGTATTTATTGTCGTTCGTGTCGACTTGGGGAGGGGGAGGGAGAGTGAAATGTCGTGTTTGTGTGTTGGCGTCTGTGTTTCTGGTTTTTCAAAGTGTTTTTATTGTCTGTCTAAACATCGCTGCCGTTAGTACCAGTAACAATATTCATAATTATATCATTCATATCATCACTGTTGTTGTCGTCTATTTACTACGAGTGTTATTACCACTACCACTACCACTAATTACAACTACTATTACTACTGCTGCTACAATTATATGTCATGTCAATTCTGTATATTACAAGAAGCCCATAAGTATTTTGTTTACATTCTTTTGGAAAACTAGATGTCTAATAAGGTATAAGTCCTACAGTTTTTTTTTTGTTTTTTTTTTTTTTTGTAAAGTGCAGTTATAAGCCGTCAATACGACCTTTAAAAAAGGCTAATTAGAATATTTTATACTAGCATTCAGTTCGTTCGGGAAAATGTAACTTGAACTGAAATTATATTCCGATTATATATTTTTAATCATCTATTATTAATTATCAATCACTCATTGTCATATGAATTGTCATGATCATTATCATATCCATTATCGTTATCATTAGCATGATCATTTTGCATGAAAACTGCCATCATTAATACCTCTATCAACACTGTCCCCACAAATGTCCCCACCGCCACACGCCATCACTCATATCAACCTGATCACCACCTTTCTTGTCAACCTTATCAATGCCATCATCGCCCTTACACTAACCCCCCCCCCCCCCGTTCCCATTCCAGTGCTTCGCGAGGAGTTCCGGACGCTGCCGCAGGACATGAGCGTGGCGTCGGGCGAGCGGGCGGAGATCGCGTGCTCGCCGCCGAGAGGACACCCGCCGCCGGACCTCGCCTGGACGCGCAACGGACACCCGATCGATCTCAAGGAGGAGGCTGAGAGGTGAGGGGGTTGGGTGGGGTAGGGGAGGGCGGAGGAGAGAGGGGTTTGGGGGGAGGTTGGGGGTGGGGGAGAGGGGACGAAGGAGGAAGTAGGGATGGGGGGACGAAGGAGGAGGCACGGGTGGTGTGAGAGAGTAGTGGGTGTGGGGGGAGGGGGGGGGGGGCAGTGGGTTGTAGGCTGAGGTGTTGGTGAGGGTGGTGGGGTGGTGAGGGTTTAGAGGGAGGGGTGGTGGGGATAGGGAAGGGAATGGGGGAGGAGGGGCATTGGGTAGGAAGAGGGAAGATCTTATACGATGGAGGAAGGAAGCTACATGTAATTACTACGAAGCTCGATATAAATTCAATCCATGAGGAAACGAAGACTAAAAGATACAAAACAGGGAGAGTGCAAGGAAAGGGGAGGAAAAAGGAAAATACGATGATGGTAACAGGAAAGAAAAAATATAATGATCAAAATAAAAGTAAAATGAGAGAGAGAAAATAAAACCTAAATTTTATATTCTATATCACAATTAGTGAGATAAAACAAACGAAAACTTCAAAATAAGAGGGTAAGAGAACAAATCACATACATAACAAAACAAAAAAAAACAGAAAAATAGTAGGAAAAAAACGAAAGAGAGGCCAGCGAATAATTATAAAAGTACGCAGACAAGGGGGGGGGGGAGAGAGGCAGAGGAAGAGGATATAACATTTTCGGGACGGCCGTGTCTCCTGTGACGGTAATGACGCGGGAAATGAAATTTATGACGCGGGTAAGCTGGGCATGGAGGAGGGGGGGGGGAGGGGGAGGGAGAGGAAAGGGGATAGAGGGTAAAAGGGGTGACGGGGGGGGGAGGGGAAGGGTAGATTGGGTATGCAGGTATAATGTGAAGGATATCGACCGTTTTGTGTACAGGTGGGTATGTAATAACATTAAATGTATATGTATGACTGTTTAGTGAGTGTCTGTGATCCGTTTACTTGGACATGAACGTTCTCTCTCTCTCTCTCTATTTCTCTCTCTCTCTCTCTCTCTCTCTCTCTCTCTCTCTCTCTCTCTCTCTCTCTCTCTCTCTCTCTCTCTCTCTCTCTCTCTCTCTCTCGTCCACTCTGTCTGTGGACCGAAATGACCAATGTCATCGCCAGAGGTGTTGGCGAAAGGCTAAACATTTTGGAAAAAAATGGTAACACTGATTAACAGGGCTTTGCAGAGGTTGACAGAGCGCCGGTGAATGTTGCAGAGGTTGACGAGGGTCAGCAAATATTGCAGAGGTTAACAGAATGTTGGTGAATTTTACAGAGTTTGGGAAAATGTTGCTTTTGCAGTGTAAGAGGGAATGTTGTACAATGTTGCAAAGTCATAGAAGCAGAGTAGGCATAACTGCAGAGAGGATGCTAATGCGGTTAGCAAATTATTCAAAAATGCATATTTCCGTTGATGAAATTGCGAAAAAATATTGCACGATACTATAAAGGGTATGTGTCTTTTCTCAAAATAAAACCGCCAATACGTTTAACAAAAGGGAAAAAAAAAGAAGTAAAAAAAAAGACAAAAGACAAAAAAACATATATTGCCATAAAATTTCTTATAAAAAATTAACAGCATTACCAAAAATGAAATGACAATCAAAAAAAGGAGCAAGAGAAATTTTTATAAGAAACGAAATGCATTTTCAACAAGATCAAGCAGTGTGCAAGTAGACAGAGATTAATGAAAGATCAACCCTGAAGTGGGCAGATGGTGGAGATTTTAAAAAGTGATTGTTTTAGAAAAATGAATAAATAAATAAAAATAAGCTCGTCGTAGCTCGGACCGCCTGTCATGGTGACCAAACTGCCTGTCTTCCTTTTACATATTTCAGTCTCTTCAAAGTTCACACTTCAGACACGCACGTCAATGCCCCTTGGGTGGACTTTGTGAAAGGATAGGCTGATAAACTTAGGAGATGAAAGAGAAAAAGAGAGGCGGGAGGAGAAAGAGAGAGAGAGAGAGAGAGAGAGAGAGAGAGAGAGAGAGAGAGAGAGAGAGAGAGAGAGAGAGAGAGAGAGAGAGAGAGACAGACAGACAGAGACAGACAGACAGACAGACAGACATACAGACAGATAGACAGACAAACACATGATTAAACGGATTTTCCTAAAATTATCATGACTGAAAACGTGAGGAAGGAACGGGAGTAAGTGTGCGAACAGAACACAAAAAATACAGTGAGTAACAACGATTTCTACACCAGTAAGCAAGAAGTGGAAAGGCCGCCAAAAATAAAAAGAAGAAAAGAAAAAAGAAGAAGGAAAAGAGGGAGACAGACAGGAGCTCCGCCCACATCTGTCCAGCAGGAACAACCAGAGGGCGCTGTTCTGTGTTCAGCTCTTTGTTTCTTTCTTTTTTCCTTCTTTCTTTCTCTCCGCCGTCGCTGGAATGCTGCCCTAGCGTGCTCTCCGGCCGCTCCTGCTGGCGGCGGCGACGTCAAAGGAAGGACCCGATGGCGACGCGATTTTGGATTTTCTCCTCTTTCCTG